TTATATTGTTCGTATTAATAAAACTCAGATTAAACAATACAAATATGTAAGTAATAATTCATTCACACATTATCATATCTATACATATAATAAAATTGCAACTAAGCCGAATCTGTACATTAAATATTTTTTGGAAAATCTTATTGAAATAGACATTATTATCGATACAGAGGCCGAATCTATAGTTTTTAGAATTTTTGTCTGTCTATCTGTCTGTCTGTTACCGCATCACAGAAATACCACTGGAGGGATTTTGATGAAATTTGGTTATCCGGGTCAACATATAGGATACTTTTTACCGCGAAAAATATCTAATTTCTGAGTAAAAATACAAAAACTGCAATTTAAGAGTATACTAATATTTAAAACCTAAGAACCTTTTGGTAATTTGAACGCGGGAGGAGCCGCGGGCAATGCTAGTAAATTATATAAAACAAAATACCAACAGAACAATAAATCACTGCGAAACAGTTCAACAATGTGATTGCAGATTACTCAGTTTGACTGGGGGCTATATTACTAAGTAATTAATAACACCAATATGCCTAATGAACAAATTACAAAATTAATAGCAAGTTAAACATCAATCAAGTGTTTGTTATCCTCAATGTTTAACCTACTGTTCTAAAAGTAATTTAAACGATTCTTTAATATACCTATTATTACAAGCGACTCACCCTCGCTTCGTTCTTGTTCGTCCCTAGCTTGCTTCCGGGATAAAAACTATTTCACTCACTCACTTTTGGTATCATGAGATTTAAAAAAAAACTTATTTTAGTTAAAAAAAATCTTTTAATTTTCTTCTATACAAAATTTGTTCTGACAATAACAAACACAAAAAAAAGAATTATCCAATTCGGTGCAGTCGATCGGAAGTTATGCGTGTACGTACATACATTTCGGTGATTCATTTTTATTTATATAGATCAAATGTTTGGTCAATTTCAATTTACTTCTACCACAGATGACTATACTATACTAGCTTTCACTTAGTTTTTATTTAAATGTAAAAAAAAAAGTTCGTACAGGAGTATTGAATTTTACATCATAGTAGAGTTGCCCTACATTACAATTACATGTGAGCACAAGTGGAAAATGACTACATCACAATACAGATTCAGGTTTTAAATCAAAGCAAGGATACGATTGCAAATAGATGTTAGTGTTTAAAAGTAGGACATATGTAAGACCTACATTCAAGGCACAAGGTGGATCGCTATATCGATTATTGTTACTTGCCTATAATTCCAATAACGTAAACTAACGTAACGTATGTATTTGCAAAATTTTGCTGAATTAATCATTCATATATTTTAAAAAGCAAATTACTATATATATATATATATATAACTAAATTAGTATTTATTTAGACAAATGTTATAATTATTATTAAATATTTTATGAAATATGTATGCACATATTTGTTCATAGATTTGCATTTGTTTCTATATTAAGTACTTTTAATTAATAAATTCAACAGATAAAAAATAATGCAAGCAGATAATGAAGATAAAAATATTAAGACTTCACATATGACTAATACAAATGTTTATTTAATTTTAATAATGGTAATGTGGACTTTAATATTAAATTTTTAGGTAACTATCACAAACACTGACTTCCACACAAGATAGCCAAACAAGCACTACTCAAAAACAACAAAGGAACCGATTTATCTAATATTAAATCGTCATGGCAACAGTAATCTAATATAGCAATATTGCAATATTAACGCTATCATACGAGATAGGCTTTATAGCGAGATAACATAGGATTAGCTGTTAAAGTAGTTTTAACTATGAAAACGTCTTATCTATATCTATATAATAAAAATAACCGTACAGTAGTGTAAGTTACACGTTTGATTCCCCCGTGAGACAATTATATATTTGCCTTGACCAATGACCATGCAAATCTATACTAATACCACAGATCATATAATATTATACTAGTACTAATACAGATATGATATAGGTAAAGTTTGTGAGTTTGTGACGTTGTAGGGGGTAATCTCTGGATCTACTGAACGATTTAGATGAAATTTGGTAAGAAGATAGTTTGAGACCCTGGGAAGGACATAGGATAGGTTTTTATCCCGGAAATCATCCTCAAGGGGGTAAAAATGGAGGTGAAATTTTGTATTGGGTAGCAAGCTAGAGACGAACCAGAGCGAAGCGAGGGTGATTCGCTATTTGCTAATATAAGCTTTATTTGTCTTTTGCAATTATATATTTGTATATTTAGCAATTCATCCACCTGTCGTAACACACACACAATACTTTTAAACTTATTTTATGTGGAAAATAATATTCAATTTGTAACATAAATTAATTTTAAATTGTTTTTATTTTTTTTATTATTTCTATGAGCAACTCAAATTATGTTTACTAATAATATAAAGCCGAATAGTTTGTTTGAACGCGTCAATATCTGGATCTACTGGTCAGATTTAAAAAAATATTTTTGTGTTTTAAAACTTACTAGCGGCTCACCCTTACTTCACTCGGGTTCGCTTCCAGAAAAACAAAAACAAACCTATCCTACGGGAACCGCACATTTTTTCGAGATAAAAAGCTTATGTGTTACTCTGGTGTACCTATGAGCTATATTATTGTGGTTCATTAAAATCCATTCAGTAGTTTTCGCGTGAAAGAATAACAAACATTCATACATCTATACATCCAGACATCCTTACAAACTTTCGCATCTATAATAATAGCAGGATTTATTGAGGAAAGCTTTTAGGCTATGACCTACATCGGAGCGGAATAATTCTATAAAATTGCTATTTTTTATATTATTAAATATACTTCATGTATGTCTTAACGTAATATGATCATGATGTGTGTAACTGAGAACCGTCGTGGTTTTCCCTATTATTTATTTCTATATTGCTACCACATTTAACCTATACACATATTATGTAACCAATAAGTAAACAGGTAAACAAAATTATTGTCATCGACAAAAACACTTAAATAACATTTAATTTTTTTTATAAAATAACGATAATTTTAAGAAAACAACTGTTAGACATTTTTACTCTGTAATAGATGATTAGGTCAAATGTAAATTCGAAAATGAAGACTGTCAAAAAGATTTGTTTTATTAATACGTTGCTTTTATATGCAGATTTTTTTCAACTACATCAATTCATATAATTCTCATGGGAGTGTAATTATTTTTTTTTTCCTTTTACGTCGGTATACATAATTTCTAGATCTCTGTTATTCGATTAAACTGATTTTAAACGCCGAGATCGATTACAGCGGCCGATAGGATGTGATCACTGATAAGATAACCAACGCGTATATACTTAGGTATTTAGTTTCAGTTTTGTTCTCATATTATTGACAATTCTTTTGTGAAACAGTCATGTTAATGATCATATATTGATTGAATTCTCTAACATTTAATCAAAAGAGGAATTTCTATTTTTATAGGTACCTATGTATATTTAAAAAATGAAACAATTAAGTTGTTATTGGCCTATCTATCTCTGGCTATTTCTTTACTAGAGGCAGTATAGAAAAACTATGTTTATTCAGTAAATTCGATGATGATATATTTTCAAAATTCCAGTGAAATTATTTTCTTAGTACATTTATATTTATATTATTTTCTTGCATTAACTCAACCCGCCATCTTTGTCACAGTAGTCAATGCAACCGACCAGATAATACTCTGACCCACAACTAAATGTACTTGTAAATAATTTTCAAGAAAAGACATTAACAAAACGAAAGATTATAAGTAGAGCTGATCAGGTCGGTAGAGTCATATTATACTTTCATATAATTTTACCCATCAAGCTGGCCACGAACTTCATGAAATGCTTAGAATGTTTACTATAAATTAGAACAAAATCTATACAGATAAATAAAATTGAAATGTGTTTGTAATGTCAAAATAACAGCCTTTTTCTAAATTCATATGAAATTATGACATGACAATAAGACAAACACATTTTTTTTAAATTTTGTCTCTCTGTTTGTTCCGGATAATCTCGTTCTCGAATGATACGGCTGGACTGATTTTGACGGGACTTTCACTGGAAAATAGCTGATGATATACGGAGTAACATAGGTTACTTTTATTTTAGAAAAAGAATTAGGGTTCCGTTCAAACGGGACTAACTACTAGGGACGAACCCGAGCGAAGCGACGGTGAGTCGCTAGTATTCAATAAAGAAGCAAACATGCTTTGCAATACTACAGTTTATTAATTTATTAATAAAAAAAGCCATTGTATACTTTAATTTCCGGGCGGTAAGTCCTGAGTAAAAAGAGGTAGGTAACTTTTGATTTTGAATGCCTAGTGACTTCATTATTCAAATGAGACCCCTCACTAAGACTTAATTCAGTCAAAAGCGATTCACATTTACTTGAGCGAGTGGCAAGGGTGGAAACATGAATACGAGTTATCGATTTTGGGTACCGGGTAATTTCTGTCGGTATATTTATAGTGCCATTGAAATATGTTGTCCTCATAATAACGTGCTACGTGTGGGAGGCTTTAAGCGATTTAATAATTATAGTTTTTTTAAAGTAACTATTCTATTGTTACGTATTAGGACGTAAAAGTAAAACAGTCTGTTGAATAAATAAGAAAATAACTACATCATTATATATATATATATAAATTAAATATGTTAATATTTTATAATATATTCAGCAGATATATAATTAAAGACTTTATAACGGTTTCTAGTTTTGTAGACATCGTTCGTAAACCTAAGGTTGAAGTGCGATTCGAACAGGTAAGTAATAATATTTACATAATATCATCGAATAATGCACACAGTTTGTTGACATTCCGTACGAACTTTAACCGCGGTTCGAAATAAACAGAGCGCTTACTTATGCAATGAACGGCATAACAATTGCATTACTGTTTATAAAAGTGAATGGGGCAGTGACCAAGTGATACAATTTGCTTTGACTTCCGCAAGACATAACCTGAAAAGATCAGCTGATTGTCAATACATTTAACATTCTAACCTTGTTGAGTCCGGGATGTTTCAGGCGGTCAAGGCCAGACAGTTTGCTGTTGGGTTGGCCATCCCCAGAGCCCCAAACACCGATGTGATCACGTTCCATTTCGTACGTACACGTCCTTCCACTGTCAGCGAGCGACTGTTTGCTGTGGGCGAAGTGAGCGATGTTTTTGTCGCGGGCCGAGGGGGCCGCGGGGGCTGGGCTCATCGCGGTCTCGCTCCTGGGAAAATAGGAAAATTTTTCAGCGATAGTCTAGATATGAACCATTTCCCGTTGCGGCCACTCGATAATAGATGGCGGTTATTGAACTCTCGTATCTTTTCAGCGATTGCATTTGTGAATTGTGGTCGAAATATTTATTTATTGATAGTATCCTTGCATAGTATAAAATGAAGTCGCTTCCGCTGTCTGTTCGCTTAGATCTTTTAAACTACTCAACGGATTTTAAATGCAGTTTTCAGCGATAGATAGAGTGATTCCAGAGGAAGTTCATGTGTATAAACATGCATATTATAGAACAGTAGAACTGAGAAATTCAAAGATTTTTATTTCATACTAACGTTATCGTTAAAACGTACCTAGGGACGAATCCGAGCGAAGCGAGGGTGAGCTGCTAGTAATATATAATGTTATGATAGAATAACGTAGGACTAAACGTTTAGTATATTATATACTGTTTTTTTTTTTACTTTTAAATCGATGTAAGACGTAAGTACATTTTATCATTAAACAAGATTAGTTATCGAGTTCTACAAATAAATCAAATGTTAACTTTTATGCCTTTTATGTTATTTTATGCAAGTGTACGCGAATTGTTTATATCACCCACCACAAATCGACTTGTGGTTCCCACCTACTCAAAATGATTGCAAAAGGTCAATAAACTGTTGATATCAATGATGATAGTATAAAATAATAATTAACCAATATTTGTAAAAAAACCGTACCTACGACTAAAAATAAGAAAAAGAGGAGCGTGAGAGACCAGAAGCTGATCCCAAAAGCGGTATTCTGTTTTGTGCTAGAGAGTACGATACGGCTACCAGAACAGCGCTTACTGTGTGGGAAGCGGAGAACGTGCGCACTGATGAATACTTTTACTTTACTTTTATTTTTTCGTAGTATCAAACTATACAATTTATATCTTAATCTTTAAGTATGGGGGAACAAGGTAAAAATATATAATAATAATCAGACTATAAGTTAAATTTAACAATGATTAGATAAGGTAAATAACAAATTAATACAAAGTCGAAAACTTTTACGCACTAATATTTAAAACTATCCTGTTAGAAGCTTTAATAAATATTTACCATCCATCAAGATATTGTTTTGGCTTGTTATTGTTTTTTACTGATATAGGTATGTATAAAGTAGCACTAATTTATACATATATTTTTTTTTTATTTGTATACAAAACAATAATAAAGCACTCTCATGGCCATATTTTTTTATATATATACTAATATTATAAAGAGGAAAGATTTGATTTTTTGTTTGTTTGTTGGTACTGAATAGGCTCCAAAACTACTTGACCTATTTAGATGAAATATAGTTAGAAGATAGGCCGAGACCCTGAGAATAAAACAGGATAGTTTTTATCCCGGAAATCATCCTTTAAGGGGGTGAAAATGGGGATGAAATTTTGTATGGGGAATCAACAAAATCAATGGGACAAACCCGAGCGAAGCTAGGGTGAGTCGCTCGTATAAAATATATTATATATATAATTAGCGTATGTTGATCACGTTTTAAGACGATAACAAATAACAATAGCCTAAGACTTAGGCTATTGTAATCGTATTGTACTGAGGACGTAAGTATTTACCCGAAATGTAAAAGTGGTTAATATTCATTAATTGGTTCAAGATATACTCAAAAACAGACAGATTTTTTTTAACACAAACATTTTTTTTAATAGATACTATCTTTCGAGCTGCGCTAAATCTTATGATGTAATGTAAACTAATTTCCTTATAGATATACTAAATAATTTATAACGTTAAGTATTTTATAGTATCAATACAAATACGGTTGATATTAATAAAACTGATATAAAATAATTTATGAACACTATAAACAAAATACAAAATAGACCGACTATTTTTGATACTAAAACATTTAACTAGATATCAAAAAATCGTTTAATTTTGCCATGGTTCTAAAAATAAGGAAGTCTTTATAATTATTAAGCATTTTTAATTACTATTAAATAAAATATATTTTATCAAGTTTTATCTTTTAATTCTTTCTTATGATTATACGCCCAGATTTCGACTGCAAAAGGAGAATAAATCATTCATGGCCCTTAGTATACGCATATACCTATGTATAATGAGATTCCATAAAATGTACTAGATTTATCTTTTAAATAAAACTATCTTTTCGGATTTTTTGCGGTTTTATTTGGATTGTTGGTTCCCGACGTTTCGAATGCTTTACAGCAATCATGATCACGGAAGAGACCCGCTCTAAAATGTCAAATATTCGCGTAAATCTAAGAAATTATTAGATTTATCTTCTCAAAAATTTTAACATAAAAACATATTTTATTATATTGTTCAAGAATTTCTTGTTGATGAAAGTGTGTGGAATTGAGAAATATTGACTCATATGCGGTGTATCTATATTAATATGTTAATAAAATAAATAAATGTAACTTCGATATTTAAAACAGCAGCTGTTGAGTTTCTCGCCGGTTTTTCTCAGCAGAACTGCTTTCCGAGCCGGTGGTAGATCCCTAACGGACTGACTACACTGACGCTTAAATGAAATTGATGATTCGAAAGTACTTGTAATAAATCTAATTGAATAAAGTTTATTTCATTTCATATATTTTATTTTTCAAGTATACTACCGATACTCGTATTTTTAATAGTTTAATAAATGTAATGTGAAAACCCGATGGAAATTATATTAATATAATATAATTATAATTATATTATTAATATTTAGAGGATGTTACTTAATAAACCCAATAAAATTCATTCAGATATTTCCCATAAGTCATTTTTCGCAGCTGACTATTATTCCACTAAAACTTTGATGTACTTGTTTTTTTTTTGTTGGGCTTTATAGGTAGCTGGGCAGCATTCTCTAAAATATGAGCTATTTAAATATGAAAACACAATCTACTCAATACGTCCACTTAATTTATTTTTAGACTAGCGATTCATATCATTTGCGCAGATTCTCCATATTTCACACTAGCGACGCAGCGTCGCTTCGCTCGGGCTCGTCCCTAGTTTGCTTCCCAATACAAACTGTCATCGCCATTTTCACCCCTTTAAGGGATGATTTCCGGGATACAAACTATCCTATGTCCTTCCCAGGGTCTCAAACTATTTTCTTCCTAAATTTCATCTAAATCGGTTCAGTAGATCCAGAGGTAACCTCTACAACCTCACAAACTCATAAAATTACAAACATTTGCATGTACATACGTATAAAAAAGTCGGTCGGCCTACCTACGTATAAGATGCGCCAAACATTCTGCTTTCGTTTCACAAGAGCATTCCATTATAGTCTGAAAATTAAAGCCATGAAGTACCTACTTGTCGAAACGAAATGAGACATTGATCAATTTTAAATTAAATAATATAATAATTAATTTAATAGGCTCTACTCTACATAATAAATAAAGGAATTAGTGTAATTTTCGTTAATTAGAAAAGCATTTACCAAATCAAATAACCTTCTCAAAGAAGTCTTCAAAAAATGAAAGATTACTGAAAATATAAAAGAAAATAAATAATGTTAACATTATATTCCTTTGAAGTTTTTTAATAGAAAAGCTTGTGTCTAGAATAATAATAATTCATTATTATTGGACGTTGATGTTCATTTCTTTATCAATTTCCTATAAACTTATATAGAGTTTTTGACTATGAATAAATTTTAGCGAATATATGTATATTCTGGAATTTTTACGGTAAAGGAAAACATCGTGAGGGAACCTGCATGTCCGAGAGAACCTAACAAGCTTTCGGAAGACATGTGAAGTCCGCCAACCCGCACTTGGCCAGCGTGGAGGCCTATGACATGATCCCTTTCGTATGAAGGAAGGCCAGTGCCCAGCAGTGGTACGTTAAAAAGGGCTAAATACTACTACTACATATTGTATATTTTGTAAGTTAATTTCTATGCCCTTTGCGCTATATTTGGGTGAAAAATTCATGGATCATTTACAAAGGACTTAACATTATAATTAATAGCTTTTTAGGGTATTACTTCATCTCTACCTGACTACTACTGACTTTTTTGGAAATGGTTTGATTATATACCTAACAATAAATAAGAAACTCTACTTACTGTTTAGACCCGTAAAGGTGACGCGCGCCATTCAACTGACGCGTGTCAAATTGCTCATTGGACTTCACTTTACGCGAGCGAAATTCCATTTTTAAAAAGAGATCAAATATCACAGAGAAAAGTAAACACTCTTTATTTTTTTTATTTTAAAAAATGAAAATTAATTTTAAAGCCTAATAATGGTAGAGCCCAGAGTGTCAAACAGAGCTCGCGCTCTCTTAATGACGACTGAAGGTCCTTTTGAAGATGATCACATTAAATACTTACGAGTTACGATAACTCTCTAGATACTTGTCGATCTGACAAACATGTATTAAATAAAACAAAGTCGCTATTTCATGTTATGAAGCCATGCTATAAAAAACATCTTAGTTCAAAGATGAAAACAAAATGTTATATTTTTATTTATTTTATTATTTTATTCCGAATGATAAAAAATGTTTGATTATATATTTAACTTTAATAAATAGATTTATAATAATAAATAGAAATTTTAAGCATATCTACATAACTAAAACTAATATATTGTTTTTGTACGTTTTTCTTCTGCCCATCTACGAGAAAGTAAGCCAATAGTACCTATAATAAATTATTTATCTAGCAATAGTTTATATAACAATAGTACCTATAATAAGTTATTAAGGTACTAATTTTTGTGCTGTAATTTTTACTAACAAGAATTTTTCATAACAACAATTTTGCTACAATGCATTTATAGCTGCGCATTACGATAGCGGTCTTAAAACAGTTAATACGATGAAAATCTGAAAGCACGACCTTTTGTATCATGCTGGTAATTTCCTACTCTTTAATAACTTTACTGCGTTTCATTTTCATTTCATCAAAGTAAAGTAAGTTTTGAATGTCATTCAATTTCATAGGAAAAATTAAAATCATATTTTATGTTGATTTCATAGCAAAAGTTACTTTTAACTAGGCCAATTGAAATGTAACAGATTTGCTTTCTATAACTTCAACATAATTTTCGGTTCAATTTACTGAGATCAACTAACTGAGATCTTAAATATAAGGCTAAGTATATATATCTAAAAGTCTAAGTATATATATTATAAAATTTACTTCTGTAATTATATGTATATCTATTTCATACATATAATTAATAATTGCCTTAGTATTAACTGTTCGTTATATTTTAATTTATAGCACTATCTTCGAAACATAGTGTTACATAATATCAAGTTAAATAATTCAAGCTAAAATGTAAGTTGATCGTAAAACATAACGATTAAATTATGATTTTTTTGTTATATCTTTTTATGGACATGCTTACAAAGAATGTTATGTGATTTGTTGACATTCTTATCGAACGGATTGTGTGCAATCACACTTTTATTTCGTGAATACATACTGAATATATGTTACAGGTTTATTTTATCTATACATATAATAAAATTCTAACTGATTCGAATCCGTACATTAAATATTTTTTGGAAAATCTTATTGAAATAGTCTTTAGTATCGATACAAAGGACGAATCTATAGTTTTTAGATTTTTTGTCTGTCTGGGAACGCATCACGAGAAAACTACTACTGGACAGATTTTGATTAAATTTGGTATGATGATAGCTAGTTATCCGGATCAACATATAGGATACTTTTTATTGCGGCGAAATATCTCATATCTGAGAAATCTATACTAACCGTTAAATAGGGACTAACACGAGCGGAGCGAGAGTGAATCGCTAGTTGACAATAAAAGAATTAGAAATATCTAAGAACCTGTAATAACATCACAGTAACATAAATAAAATCCATATTGTGTTTCTAGTCACAAGTAAAGGCAAAGGTGAGCTTGTCAATCACAATGGTTCTAGCTATACATGCGCGTGAGCGACAAGAGCAGGCCAAGGGCGCGGCGTGATTTCTTTATGAGTCTCCGTTATCGATACATTTATATAGATATCCGTGATTGGCCAAAATCGCTAAAATTGTTATAAAAGTAAAAATATACACTATATTATACATAGTTAAACTTATAAAATTTAATTTATGAACAAAATGAAACTCATTAGAATGTAATTTCATTAAGTACCTAATACCTATCATATTTTTTATAAAAGTTATTTAAATTATACATACTACTCTTAGATTATTAACATATAAATAATCTAAGATACTACTTATATATTTCATAAGTGTTACAATGTTTTTAGCATGTGTAACATATCCGTAACATATATTAAAATCAAAACTTTATCTCGATTTCTCATTTCATATTGCACAAGGTTATCAGCCAAGAAACACGCTTCCATCGAATTAAATAGCTGGAACAAATTATTAGTCAGTCGGTCTAGTTTATATAAAAACGTGTGTATACATATATTGTATAACTGACATACATCACCCTTGCATTACTTGCAATAAATTCTTATGTCTATTATAATCTTATGTGTAATATGTATATGCAGGCATATAAAATAAATTCCGCTCGAACTTCGAAGCTATGTTCGTTAAAAAGATAGCGTGTTTCTCATGGCTAAATAAGGCTGTTTGCTTATTATTATTATTTTTTAGAAATTCAAATAGAGCAAATTTCAACCATCCGATACTATAGAGCTTAGAAGACAACAATTTAAACGCCGCGCAGGATAGACGGACGGACAGCGTAGACTTTATACCCAAATTAGATATGTCATATGACTTTTTAATAATAGTATATGTAGGCAATAATATATAAATATGTAGGTAAAATGTAGGTCTTAAATTATTTCTATCATAGTACATAACTCAATTTATTTTTTAAATTTCCAGCTTCCGGTGACAAGTACAAACCAGTAATGTACGAATGGCAAACCTAATATTGTTAGAAGGCGATTGCTAACAATTAGCAAAGGAAACGGACTTACAATGTCAATAGCACAGCTGGACCTTGTAAAAATAATTAACTAGGTGTAAAAAATTCAAACTTAACGTACTTATATACTATAGCAAGCACATAACAATTTTAACAGTCACTTTGTCTTTCCCACAATGACTGGGGATGATTATTTTAAAAACACTTTTTATGATCTTTCCTTTAGGAATTTCAATAAAATATTTTAGAATACTTATATAAGTGTATACTAAATAATAAAAGCCACAATAGATTCTTAGAAATCTTTTCCAAAAATGTCCTCCTTTTACGTTTTCAAACTAAATATGTAAGTGTAAACTATCTTTTCTTATTGTCAAGTTATTGCTTGCAAACCGTTTTATATAAAGCAATTTTGCAAGCGAGTACGAAAATTATCCTCAAAGCAACACTACAGTACACCACAGTATTACTTCAACGTGACGAAATGCAAGGCTTACGCTGAGCCTAATCGCATTCAGAGAGTTATATGCTGACTTTCCACTAAATATAAAAATATATTTCAATTTTATTGCCCTGTTTTTTGCTCTTTGAAATAATTTTGTAGTTTACTTACAATCAAATGACATAATAATTAACAGCATTTCATGATAATCATGCAATTTTTGTTTAGACTTTAGGACGTCATGTTAAAAACTCGTTGTTCGAAAGCTAACAGCTCAGAAGGGTTCATTGACTATTAAAGATATTATGCTTATAAAGATAAAAAAAAATACCTAACATTTAATTGTATTGCTCACAGGACAACATTTTGTGTGTTCATTTGTAACGGTATGGTATAAAGATGGGAAATAATAGTGAAAACTCCACGATGAAGCTTTATATATCTAGTCAAATCAGTGGAAAGCATCATTTAAACATACTTAGAAAGTGCATTTGAAAATCTTTGGAAAGGTGTAATTTTAAGTGAATTTGTACCGAGTGACGTAGAAAGCCACTGTTGATAGCACTAGCACTAGTTTCACATCCCGCTATTTATATGAAAAGCTAATTTGATGGAATGATCATACATTATTAAAATGTTTTTTTTTTATTTTGCTTATTATATCTTAATACAAACGTTACTTAATGTATATATTTAAAGTTTACTTATTAGTTTTTGAGTTATTATTTTTTGACCTTAGTCAAGATATCTATACATATAATAAAATTCTAACTAAGCCGAATCTGTACATTAAATATTTTTTGGAAAATCTTATTGAATAGACTTTATTATCGATACAGAGGCCGAATCTATAGTTTTTAGAATTTTTGTCTGTCTGTCTGTCTGTTACCGCATCACGGGAAAACCAGTGGATAGATTTTGATGAAATTTGGTATGATGATAGCTGGTTATCCGGGTCAACATATAGGATACTTTTTATTGCGGGAAAGTATTTCATCTCTAAGAAATCTATGCTAAATGTTAAAACGTAAGTAGGGACGAACCCGAGCGAAGCGAGGGTGTGTCGCTAGTAAATAATATAAATTTCAACAAGAGCACACAGTACAAAAGAATGACAGCGCTAATAATGCAAATCCTCGTCTAGCCTTTATTTTTGCGGGCCTATTAATAACTCTGACATCAAGGTAACTTGTTCTACAAATACCTGATATCCAATTCAAAATATATTCTGAATTAATAAAATAACTCTAAAAATACTAGAGTATTACATAATTGAAAAACCAAAATATTTTTTGTAGAGACTGGGCTTTTAAGTGAGAATGCGAGACTGTACAGTAGAGGATAGACGTTGCTTGATGCCAAGCTCTTCGAGAATGGACTTATTAGTCCGGAATTCGTTCCAAGACACTCTCAACATTCTTCTCCAGCACCACATCTCAAGAGCGTCTATTCTCTTCTTCTCACTTTCTCGCAGGGTCCACGTCTCCGAAGCGTAGAGGAATATGGGGAACACAAGCGCTTTTACTAGCCGGGTCTTAGTGGCATTAGTTACGTTGCGGTTCTTCCATATTTTCTGCAACTTATCCATGGCTGATCTAGATATCGCCATACGTCTCTTGATTTCGTCTATGCAGCCCCCGTTGTTCGAAATTAACGCTCCTAAATAGATATATGATTGGACGACTTGACAGTTCGCGATTTGAGTCACTTCTGGCGAGTTGTTGTTGATGCGGTCGACAATCATAACTTTAGTCTTGCTGCGATTGATCTTAAGACCAAATTCAAGGCTGACATTTTCCATTTTGAAGTGAAACTTCTTTAGAATCGTTGTGATTTGAAACTCGATGCAACGGAAACGCGACAGTAAAAAGAGACAAACATATAAATATATAGGATTAAGCCGGCGATAGAATGAGATAGAATACATTGCGATGATGCCATGGTAACCGTTGTCATGGTAACCGTTGTTATTTGATAGAATACATTACAAAGGAAGTGAAAAATAATAAAATTCATTACTGATTATTATGTAATGTTTATATTTATGTCAAATAAAATGTAAAATAACTTTTAAACTTGGTAAAAATAATATAAAAAAATCCTTATGATTATCCTACTCCTGATACTCATATCATTTTCTGAAGTTTCACTTCTACGATGTGTGAATTGCACATTTATTTTTTAGAAGTTCTTCCATATGACCGATACTGGTTGCGAATAAGGTGGTATCATCCGCGTATCGTAAGTTCGAGATTTTCAGACCTCCAATTGCGACTCCATCTGTCCAGTTCTTAATAGTGTGTCACATTATTAGCTCTGTGTAGAGGTTAAATAGAAGTGGGGAGATTATATATCCTTGACGAACGCCGGCACTAGGATGAAAGTGATCTGATAACTTGTCATCGGTTTTTACGGATGCAGTCTCGCATTCTCACTTTCTTTGGTCATGTAACAAGACGTGATGATGTTTCGATTGAACGCTTAGTGGTTCAAGGAAGAGTAGAGGGCACTAGAGCACGTGGCAGAACGCCCATGAGGTGGACAGACCAAGTGAGGGCTGCGATGAATGTTCCCTTACACGAATGCAAGAAGAAAGCGGCTGTTAGAGAGGAGTGGCGACGAGTAGTCAAGCGTGCCACAGCGCTCAAGTGACGACCACGACCACTCTGTCAAGAATGTAACGACTTAGAAGAAAAGGGCTTTTAAATTAATTCTTTAGTAAAATAAAATTTTATTTGTTAGTTTACCTACATAAGGGTTCAAAAAATTGTGTTCTACATTATTATAATATATAGAGTTCATTTATTGACGTAGGTAGGTACAACTACCTACTTGTAAATCTCGACAATAGATTTTGTTTAAACTTGGTATGAAACTTTCTAGTAAACAAAATTACAATGTCTACGTTATAAGTATAATGTGGAACCTATTGGTATATATACAAAGAAGTCGTATAATTTAAAAAAAATAATGTATCTAATGTTCCTTTATATTCAGTCAATATTGTGGACCGACAAATTATATTAAGTATACAAAAATTATTGCGTGAAACGCGCATAAAACAACAGAATACGTACAGACAAACAGACATACAGACAAAACTTCTAATAACTATTGTTTTGGGGTCTATATTGTGTACAGATGTACAGATTTCGCTAAGCTACTGCTTTATTTTATTTATGGAAACATACAGTGTAACAGTGTATAGAGACAAACAACAAATAACAATAATAATAGTAAATACACCAATAAAGTTTCCACAAACAAACAATTCATTTAATAAGAAAGTAGAGATTTAACAAAAACAACAACATTTGAATTATATTAACAAAACATTGAAACATTAATAAGATATGTAGCTAAATTATAAATCTTTTAGAAGAAGTACATTTCTAATTCATTCACTCGTTCATTACGAAGTCCCACCTCCCTTTTCAACCCCTTAAGGGATGATTTCCGGGGTAAAAGCTATCCAATGACTATACCAAAAAAATCTATCTCAAACTATCTCCATACCAAATTTCTTTAAATCGGTTCAGCGAATTAAGCGTGAAAAGATAACAGACAGACAGACAGAGTAACTTTCGCATATACATATATATTATTAGTATGTATGTATGTATAACTTTAATTAAATAATTTCTTTATGTATTCTGTAGGAAAGTCTTCTGATTTCTGAATACAACATAAATTAATGTAAGGTCTGTTAAAATCAGTTTACTAAAGTGACATTGAAATTTAGCAAGCAATTATTTATGAACGTCAGGGTCAGGCGACTCTATGCATCGTAAAGGCATAATTCAACTTTAATTGAACTCATACCTTTTATATTTAATAGCTAGGTACTATTATAACGCTTAAGGATAATTTTGTAGGGAGTAATATTTTATTATCATTATAGAAATAAAAACTTACAAAGTTTAGTGTACAAGACTATAGACTAGAGTAAAATACTGTCTTTCGCCGTTTTTCATTTTATTTTTATAATTTACTTATATAAATATATATCTAATGTAGGACTGTGACAAAATATCGTCTTAATTACTTAATAGTCTTAATAACTTTCTTAGATTTACGCGAATATTTGACATTTTAAATAAAACTATCTTTTCGCATTATTTCGCGGATTTATTTTGATCTTTAGTTCCCATCAAAACCACCAACCAAAAATCCATATAAATCCGCGAAATAATCCAAAAAGATAGTTTTATTTAAAATATCGTCTTAGTTAAATTATTTCGTACAAAATATTTACAAATTATATACACAAACCTTCCTTGTTTATCGCTGTCTATTAATGAAAAAAGTATCAAAAACCGTTGCGTGAATTAAATTTTAATAGACGTAGGCTGAGAAACCACAAGACAGCGACTTTTTTATACTATGTATACCTACTCGTAAATATTTATATATGTATTTATGTAGCGACTTGCGCTCGAATTAAATTATGCATTTCCCTATTTTTAAAAAATTAGACGTTTTACCAGGAAAAAAATTAAACATGTTAATTTTTAGTACTAATCGTTTTTTTGTGTAAGAAATCATTGATATTTTTTATTTAAATGACTACTCGGCCGAACCAGTTGTTGTGAGTGTGTGAGTAAGAGATTTTCCTATAGTAATTTATCTTTTATTTATCAAATTAAATTTTCTTAATAAATCATTCCACTTAAACACATATTTCATATTTACCGTTGTACACTGTACAGTATCTCAAACAATGAAACAAAACGTCGCTTTTCCTTTCGTTAACTTACACAGTTAGTTGCGTATTGTGATTGATAATATCTTCCATTTTAATTTTACTCTCGATATGACGACACTGGGTTTACTTTAACTATTAAAATAAACTCCACCTTTACCAGTATTTTCATTTTTTTAGCAACCTGCTTAACTTTTTATTAATTTTGTAAAAGATTTGCGTTTGTAGGTGCTGTGTCTGTTTGTTTATTTATTTAAGCATATTATGTATTTATCGATATATATTATTATGTATGATATAAAAGATTTTCCTCTACTCTAGGGTTATCTGGAAGATATCGACGTTACCTAATCTAGCAATAAGATTATATTAATATGTTTCATTTTAAATGCGGATAGTGTTGTATAGCATAACAATATCCTATACATTATTCAAAAAAAGAATATATTTTATATTCCTTACATAAACTACCTAAGCAAATTGTTAAACCCCTAAGCAAAAAAATACTATTTCGAAGTCTAACGACATATTGTGAAAAGGTTTGTATAGATCATAGGAAGATGCATGATTATAATACTTATAATAAAAACTATAGTGGATAATGTTACTGCGTGAAGATAAAAATAGTTTAAAAAAGACTTAGCTACCCACCAATAAGAGTTCTTGTAATATAAACATAGAGTTTGTCAAACATCCGAATAAATTATGCGATTAAAACATAATAAGGCGTTGTTTTATAGTAATTACGAGTAATATTGACTCCTGCGCATCCGTTTACAGAGTTTTTAAGAACGCCGAAATTACAATACAGACGAACTATAACTAAATGTTTACGATAACATATGTATTATAATTGACGCCAAAATTGTAAAGAACATTTTTATTTGTAAATATATTGTATTTTATCAATAAATAATAGTTGTATAGAACTCAAGCAAACCTTTACTTAGATTTAGTTTTCATGTGAACAATCCAATTATTATATAGCTAAAGATTTTTATATCTGATTTTTATTTTTGTATTATCTGATCAGATAAGGATCTGTTACCTAATAAAAAATATTTGCTAGAATAAATATTTATAATCCAAAAAATAAATGAGTAACTTACTGCCATTTTCTTTTATCATTGAGTTTAAGAGAGGCAGAATTTCCCATCTCTATTTAAGCACTTTCAGGCTACTTAAACACTTTTTAACCCGGTTTATAAAGTCTTTTAATAAAAACGCGTCCTTACCATACGAACTCTCGTGGTACTACTTGTACGTGGTACTAATTCCTAATACTGCAGGTAAGCTTACAATCGTTGACCGTGACTTTCCTTTTACTTACTTAGATGATCTTGGTTTTTGTGGTATTGTTTTTCAATTTAAAAAATATGCTATAAAAAAATTGCAGTTGTAGGTCATTGGGCAACGAATTCATCCGTCCATGAAAAAGGTTTTCAGGCACAACTTATCTACTCATCACTAGATAGCGTTACCAGTATCGACGATCATGTCGTATAATTCATAAATATTTACTAATATTATATTAATATTTTTTTGTAATGATTTATGAATTTAAACAAAACATACTATTGTTAGTGTACACTACATCCATTCTGATGCAATATGTACAATTCTTTTGTAATTGTCATCTCCATCTGTCACTGTCAAACAGAGATGACGATTGACGTTCTTGCGGCTTTGAGACTTTGAGGTTAAAAGCTAAAAATTATACAAAATATTCAGATTTTGGCAAAGGTTAATTATGAAACACAATTAGAATTAAAGTAAATAAGACTTATACTGTAGTTAATAAGTAAGCTAAAACTTTTAAAATGAAGAAAGAAGGTAATATAACTTCTGATGCTTTAAATAAACAATTTTCCTTGGAATAAAACTATATACTTATTTTATTTATTATATTGTTTTATTTCAGAAGTAAAAGAGATTTTCTTAAAAATCCTCAAAGAAGAAGAGGATGTGTCTGCTGGTGTGGCAGCTATAAAAACTTTACTAACAGTTATAGAAAATTATAAAGGTATTTACATTTAAATTTGATCTTATGTTAAATTTTCCATAATATTTAAATATAATAATAATACAAATATGGTACAGCCTAAATGAAGTAATGAAGGCACAGATTTAGTATAAGGGATGCAAGTATCCCTGGAGTAGTGGGTTATTTTTGAGAAGGAAAGGTGATTTTATTTTCATATTAAATAAATGCTAATCTTTAACAAAAAGTATATATAATTTTTTAGTTAGCATCAGAAAGTTTCTCATGATAAGCATAGTGACAAAAATGCTATAACACCATATTTCAAAAGAATGTTATATTTGTGTTACAATTGTAAACGTTTTTGTATTACAGTTGGAACAGTGCAAGAGCTTGATCAAAATTTGCAATTGGCTGTAGAAGCCATGCGTCAGTGTGATCAGCCCGTAGCTGCAATTTCATCAGGATGTGAACTTTTCATGAGATTCATTACTTTTGCCAAACTTGATGTCAAGGTAATGAAATTTAGCATTTACATTAGTATAATAAGTTTGTAATTTCTTATTTTTGCATATTTAAAGTCAATCAAAATTAGAAGCTTTCATGCATTATTTAAAATATTTATAATGTAATAAATTTTCTTTGTACTAGTCATTTGAAGAATGTGAACAGATAATGCTGCAGAGAGGACGCATATTTCTCGATACACTACTAGAAGCCAGAGGCAAAGTTGCAAAACAATCCCTAAATTTTATAAGTGATGGGTGTGTGAGTATATGTCATTTAATTCGTCGACACAGAGTCAGTAATTCTTTTTATGGACAATGTATACGCAGAAAATGTTCAAAAGGCTTCTATCACCAAATTCAAAAAAATTGTTAAAGAATGTTTGTGTGCTAAAGGCTTATTATACAATAAATGATTTTATAGAAGATGGCACACCTTGGGAATGAAATCAAATTGATAGAAATGTTGTAAATTATAATTTAACTTTATAAAAAAAAAATATAATGAAATAATATTAGTACCGCTGAGTTCCGTTCGCCAGTTCTTCTCAGGTCTGAGGCTTCTTCTTTCCAAACTGGTAGTAGACTCATGACGTTCAGTAAAAATTTGTAATAATTTAATGCTGAATAAAATATTTTGATTTGATTTGAATTTAATTCTTAATGTACTATAAAAATAAAATCTATAATCTTACACATATTTCTGTGTATTGAGAGTTTTTTATTAAGAACTGAAGTTATTTTTTTTAATTTACTCGACCATAATATTTAAAAAAAACAGATTAGTAAAGCTTAGTTAAACTAGCAACTTTCAAATTGTTTCTATCATTTTTATAATTATTCTATTGATCTATATGAACAAACAGGTAAACCTTTTTGTTGTTTAAATTACAGAAAATCCTAACACATTCTCGATCCAGAGTAGTCCTGCAAGCCATGTTGGAGGCCGCTAAAGCTAATAAGAGATTCCAAGTCTTTGTTACTAAATCATGTCCTGATAACAGTGGGTTAGTATAGCAGTTACCACATATTTATAAATTATGTTTTTTTGTAATAATTATCAATTCATTGAAGTAAAACTTCTATAGGCGCGCCATGAGAGAGGAAACAAGATTGGCAAGAAAAGATTGGCGATTTTTGTAATGGAAACGGTTATTACAGAAGTTAATAAATAGTCAATTAAAAATTATTTAAATTATTATATGAATAGGCGTCTTTTTTGAAAAAACTCAATTTGTACATCTTCACAGAAGAAATGCCAAGCTAAGTCTAAGTACTTATTTATTATATCACCTGTGATATGATAAATATAACAATAATATAATTGTTACAGAGAGCGCATGCACAAGGAGCTGACGGCGGCCGGCATCGAGGCGACGCTGATCCTGGACGCGGCCGTAGGCTACATCATGGAGCAGGTGGACGTGGTGATGCTGGGTGCGGAGGGCGTCGCAGAGAGCGGCGGGATTATTAATAAGGTTTGTATCACTATTTATTACTTATATATATTACTATATATATATATATATATTATATACTATATATATATTAGCTTGCTTCCCCATAAAACTTTCATCCCCTTAAGGGATGATTCCGGGATGAAAATATATAAATATTCGGATAAAACTATATAATATTTAGATTTCCGGAATAAATATATCCTATGTTCCAGAGTTTCAAATTATCTTCTTACGATATTTCATCTAAATCGGTTCAGTAGATCCAGAGATTACCCCCCACAACGTCACAATCTCACAAACTCACAAACTTTACCTCTTTATTATATTAGTATAGAAATATCAAATACAGGTGGTAGCCCAGTGATAATAGAGTAGTTCAAACCCTGGGTCTTGCATTTCTGATTTTTTTATGATGGTCCTCATAAGGGGACCCGTGCCCAGCTGTGGGACGTTAAAAAAGCTGAATACAAATACACTACGTTTAAAGCATGATCCAACTTTAGGGTTTATGAAGAAAATGGTAAAGTGAAACTGAAATTCTTTCTGTATGTCACAGCCACTTTAGTCGAAGACTATCACAAGCTACATTGCTAAAATTTAGTAGGTAGGTGTCTCAGGTATTTTGTAGGTAGGCTATACAATTCTACAGGTAATTTACAAAAATTAAAAATAATAGGTTTAGCATTTCATAATGCAACTGCGGGTAGAAAAATATACATTTTAAGTCTACATAAATAAATATATGGGGTTTCCCTGAAGTAAGTCTAAATAAAAATTCAAATGTTGTTTCTGAGTGACTTTTTCGTTCAATACTATAATTGCGGAGCTTTATGCTTCTAAATTCATACCTCTCACCTCAAGAAATGTATGTATAAATTCAATAATGTTTTGCAGATTGGTACATATTGTATCGCTATGTCAGCATTAGAACTGAAGAAACCTGTGTACGTGCTAACTGAAAGTTTCAAATTTTCAAGAATATATCCTCTAAATCAAAAGGATTTGCCAAATGAATTCAAATATTTATCAAGCACTTTAAGCAATGGAAATCTATCAAAACAACACCCTCTAGTGGACTACACGCCGCCGGCGTACATTACTCTTCTGTTTACGGACTTAGGTATACTCACACCGTCGGCAGTGAGCGATGAACTTATAAAATTGTATTTGTAATATTTTTGTAATTTAATAAATGGTTATTAATTAAATATTTTGTTAATTTTAGCAAAATTAGATCCAGTCTTCTTTTTATCTATACATCTATACAGATAAATAAAATTGAAATGTCTGTTTGTAATGTTAAAATAACAGCTTTTTACTAAATACATATGAAAGTTATACAATACTAAAACACAATTTTAATTTTTTTTGTCTTTCTGTCTGTTTGTTTCGGCTTATCTCCGAAACGGCTGGACAGATTTTGACGGGACCTTCACTGGTAGATAGCGGATGTTATAAGGAGTAACTAAGGATACTTTTAGAAAAAGAGTCCGGTTTCGGCGCAAAAAAATTAAAACCCATGAAATTAATACCTAGGAACGCACACAATCGAAGCAAGGACAAGTCGCTGGTATCTAATAAGTTTTGATTATTTACAATCTACGTTATAAGATACGAATATTAAATATTAAACTGAGATGAAGTAAAGGAAAAAATCAAATTCCAAATAATCTGACACTTTTATTAATATCAATCATATAAGAAAATATTTACAATAATAATGTATAACCAAATTAATAATGCACTACAAATAGCTAGAGCACTTCTTATCTCACTTTGAGTTCACTTTATAATATTAGATACATTTTATTAAAACATACAACTAGGCAAGAAAAATATAAATGTAAATCAACTGGAAGCACAGTGTCTATCACATTTAACATTTACTCTCAAAATTACACAATTCATAATATGTAAAAACACAATACTTATATAATAACATGTGTACAGATAAAGATTTACATATTAGCTTAATCAAATTAATCATTATTATACAACAATAGACTTTTATTAAACAAATAAAATTCGCGCGGAGTCAATATAGTATTATGTCATATAAAATTAAGGGTCAATTCAAATTCTACTTGATTTCTTTATTAAAGGGAGGCCCGCGCCCAGCAGTGGGTTGAACGTTAAAAAGGGCTGAGTACATACATACATACATATATTGTTTTAAAAAATGATTTAAATTATATGCAGCAGAGAACTTACAACTAAAAGTTAACATTGCACTAGTAAAGAATATTTACAAATTCATTTGATATAAAGAAAGTGGATATTTTGACTGCCAGTGCAATGCTAACTTATTTTTTTAAAAGTATTATTCAAGAGATCAACACTTTTACAGGGGCATTAAAAGTATACTGTTTTAATACTATAATCTTAGTATAATATTAAAACGAAATCGTACATATCCTACTTTAAAAGAATGTTAAAAGTTGTTGTTCATATTATAATTTATTTCTTTTTTTATAAAACACGTATTTATAACACCTACTTTGTAAGAAATTTAAAAAAATAACAATCATTCAATTCAACTTTCTATAAAATGGAAACGAATAACAGATAAAAAATTATAATATGCTGTAATTTTATTACTTTTTGAAAAAAATATTAAAAAAAATACGTACATGTTTATTTGTGGAAGCTTTAAGACCCTAAGTCTAAAAATAACAATATAGGTCTAATTATTAAGCTTACCTATATTACAGGGACTTTATATATATATCATGGCTTATGTATACTATATAATTAACTCTGATATTTTTTCCTAAAGATTATAAAACTTACAATAAACACAATACTGACAGTTAAACATTGGATTAAATTGAAAATATAATAATTTACATATAATATACATTTAAATGGCTATATCTAGACCATTAGAAAATGAGTCTTTTTTTATAGAAAAGACAAATATTGTTTTCAATTTTAATTAAATTAAAATGAAATAAAATGCTTTCTTCGTTGTACAATTCGGTACATAACAATTCTATAAGAAGAATTGTATGACTTTATTTGCTTATGAAATAATACGATATTACAATTACTTGAAAAAATGCTATGAATAAAAGACTTGACTTAAGTCATACGCATCGTAAAGTATGTAGGTACTAGGTACATTGAAACCACGTTTATTTATTGACAGTTAGAAAATTTATCCCGCCTTACTATTTTGACTAAAACGTTATAATATGAAAGTCAATTTTAGAGTTCTGTGCCTGAAGGGTGCAAACCCTATTACTAAGCTTCCGCTGTCCGTCCGTCTGTCTGTCAGCGGGCTGTATCTCATGAACTGTAAAATGTAGAGAATTGAAATTTTCTGCTGCATTAACACGAATTAATAATAAAAAACGAAGGTAGCGAATTTTAAAATAGTAGCCATGTAAATTAAAAGAAATGATTAGTACGTAATATAATGTAATATCTTGTCCGATGGCATGGAACCCTTCTTGTGCGATTCCGACTTGCACTTGATCGGTTTTATAATAAACATAGCAATACCAATACAATATATAGTAATGTATTTATTATCTGTTGTAAATATTGTCAATGATAGTGTATATCTGATGGAAGTGCGGGCGCTTGTCCGGCTCGTACTCCCAGCAGCGCAGCATGAGCGCGTACACGTCCTCCGCGCAGCCGTCCGGCGCCGGCATTCGGTAACCTGTCTCACATATTTATTCATATCAAAAACTAGCTTTTGGCAACATCTTGCTTAACATATCTTCAATTTTTTAATATTAATTTAAATATAAAACTAAAAAGCGTATTTCTATATTTATTCCATTACCATTTTTCACAACCAATAAGTGTATTCATTAGGAAATTATATAGGAAAGCATAGAGCAAATACGCATATATTAGAGCATATTGCTAATGTTGACTGAATCTACTTGACCGAATATTATAATCTTACCGAAAAATAAATTTCAATGAAAACAAGTAACAAACTCAGATAAACACACGCTCACAAACACGCACACACAGACACACACAAATAAAATAATAATAAAAATGTATATATTTTCGCGTACCATTATCGATTTTCTCCCTCGCACGAGAGTTGCTCATGCCGGCGTAAGGCGTGTCTCCTTTGGAAAATATCTCCCACATCAACACACCGTAGCTCCATACGTCGCATAGAGACGTATATTTACCTGAAAATTATATTTAATTTTAAAAACTATACAAATATTTTACTACAGTAAGTCTACACGATATATGGGGTTGACTAGAAGACGTCTCTATAAGAGATAAGTCCTTTGCCTCCAAAATTTTTCATGTTATTTATAATTTTTAAGGACAATTATTATGAGTGTATTCACCCCTAAGGGAGGATATACTACTAGAAGTTTGCGTTTCGATTTCCGTAAGGAATAAATAAACGTCGGACACTAAAAATCGGAAAATTATAAAGTGATAAAATAAGAGAGAAAATATTTCATTATTCCTATCTATATCTATCTATCAACCCCTTACAAATAAATAAATAAAATAAAAATATTTGTAAAGCTCACCGAAATTCAAAGCCTCTGGCGCAGTCCACTTGATCGGTATCTGCTTCATGCCCCCCGACACTATGTATTCCTCTTCCTCCCTGGACATGCCGAAGTCTGATATCTTCACGATGTTATCATCTCCCACCAAACAGTTCCTGGCCGCCAGGTCTCTATGTATACAGTTCTTAGACTCCAAGTAGCGCATGCCGGCGGCCGCGTCGCGACACATCGCTAGCAACGTCCTAGAACTAAGGTTTGATGATCTTGTTCTTAGGAAGGTTAGAAGAGAGCCGCCTGAAATCAATTTTTGTTATAAATAATGAGTAAATATTTTCTTATTAATATTTTCTCATCACAGCAATCATGGTCAAACGAGAGACCATGATGCTGTAAAGCATTCGAAACAATCCTCAACTAAAAATCCAAATGAATTCGCAAAAGATAGTTTTATTTAGAAAAATAAGTAAATATTTTTTTTATATTAAGCAATACACTTTCTATAATATGAAGACAGGCTTATGGTATAACAAATATCATAAGTGCTCTCACTCGACGGACCAAACGACAGAACGGACTTAATTTTTTTTTATGTTGATATAAGAGAAGTAAGTACGGCCCCCCCAACGTGCGTTCACCTTGTCGTGGTGGGGGGGCTCAGTAGTGCCCGGCAACCCAACCGGGCGCGAAGCTAAGAAACGCACAGGAAGGTTGCCCACTTCGGTGGGCAGTGGGAAGTGGCCCTTTTCGGGGGGCGGTGTACCACGCGGGTTGCTCCTGGTACTTCTCTGATAGCAGAGTGGACTGTGGAGCAACCCCGTGGTTGTGGTGGTCTGCTTCGGCAGACCTGCCGTCGGGGCGTCGTAGTTGAATGCGTAAGCGATCCTACGACGCCCCATTATGACGGGGGAAGGTTTTGTTGGGTTTTAGTGGGTAGTACTGGCTGTATTACGTCGGTGAGTCCCACTCGTCGTGCGTAAATGCATTTCCCAACGTTAAAAAAAAAAAAAAAAGAGAAGTAAGTACTTGCCCGGATAACAGGATTTATGGAAACACTCTTAAAGCTTTACTGTAATTGACCGTGATAGCATTGTCAGTCAAACATACAAACCTAATGGACGCCATGTACCTACTCGTATATCGCTTTTATAATTAGTGAATTTATAAAAAGACCTAGTTCATCTACTTTTAGCCTAGAATGAGATTGAAAGAAGCGATATAGGTATAAAAAATCTGCAAGGTATTCTATATTTGAAAATTTTAATCATATTTATCTCACCGCCCACTAGCTCCATAACAATCATTATCGGTTGTTTCTGCACAGCGATACCAATCAGTCTAACAATATTAGGGTGTTGGTATTGTTTGAGAATGCGCCCTTCCTGTAAGAAAGTACGTTTCTGGTCTTCAGGCAACGCGACTCTACACGTCTTCACTGCTACCTCCTGGCCCGTGGTCTTTAGTCGAGCTTTATATACATCCCCGAAGTTACCCTGGAAGAAATACGTGTTTTACAACTTTACAATGATTTTTGAGACCGTTACTATCACTTACTCGTAGTACTTGTCATATAAGAATATTTACTATATAATTTAATAGAATATAAATAATGAATTATGAAGTTGGTTATATCGGAACTGGAGCCAGAGTCGAAGGTGTGCAATTAATCGGAAGTTCTGACCTTTCGGAATCGGAATCGAAGTTTCGTAACATCCTTAGTGCAAAACTAATTAATGATGTTAAAAAACAGAAATAATAGTATATTATAAAATCACAATTGACTGTAATTGAGTACACAATATTATTAGTGACCTAAATAACACCTTCCAACCTTTTAATATTTTAAAAGAAAGTCATTAATTCACCGAGATAAAGAATTTCAATAAACACTTTCCTATATAGACCAGGGTAGAAGCCTTTAAAAATAATAAAAAGTGAAAAAAATAATAATAGTAGGATGCAACCCATTAGAAAAGGAGGGGAAAATTATAAAAATGAAAGGAAAAATAATTTACGGGCGATCTGAGGTCCGGAAGGGGAGGGGGGTGAGTTTTTAAGGGTAAAAAACGGTTTTTCTCGATTTTCGGCAAAACTAAAAGTCCTATCGAAAAAAGTCAAATTATTTTTCTTTTCCTTTCATTTTTATAATATTCCCCTCCTTTTCTATTTTTTCCTATTTCATTATTATTTTTAGTTTAAAAAATTATCGACCCTGGTCTATACAGACTAATATGCAGAAAACCCTTAGTTCACCAGTATACATATTTTTTTCAATAACAAACAGAAAGAATAACAAACAGATAAACACACTCGAATTTATATTAATATATAGCAGAAAAGATCCCATCCTATTCTATTCAGCAACTGTCACACTCGTACAACATATTATAATAGCAACAAAAGCTCTCACTCGTCCTATTTAATCCAGCCATACTCTCATTCATATTAATAGGACAGATTCTTATCCGTTATGAGCGAATAATTTTTCAACATATTTACCACTTGCCTTTCGCGTAGGACAATATCATGAGGAAACAAGCACGTCTGAAAGGATCTAGTAAGTTTTCGAAACATATGTAAAGTTTGGCAATTCGTACTTGGCCAGTGTGGTGAAGTATGGTCTGATCCCTCTCGCATTGAAAGGTCTGTGCCCAGCAGTGGGACGATATAAAGTGTTTCTTTTTATTTGAGTAAGTCTAACACCCACAGACATACGTCCGTGCCTTTTTTGAGCTATTCTTGTTATGTTGTTATTTTCTTTTATTTGACAACACTATGGGATCGGGTGGACTTTAAGAGTCCACCCAAACGAGGTCAGTGTGCGATATAAAGTGTTGAATACGAAACAAATTCTCACCCGTCCAATTTTATCCAGTAACTGCACGTGATCATTGTTCAGCTCCCACGTCTCCCGCGGCACGGCGCGCCGCAGCAGGGCGCCGGAGCGCGCGGTGACGGGCACGCCGCTGGTGCGCTGCCACGCTATCAGCTCCGCCACCGACGGGAACGCCGAGCCCTCGAACCTGTAGTGGCCCTGGAAGTGTTGGCAATGTGTGTGAGGTACATTCTGTTATGAATGCACCGTTTTGAATTGTGGTTGTTTTAATTGATATATAATTTAAAGTTCTGAAAGATGTCTAAGATAATTTGTAAGAACTAAAGATATTTTTTATCTACATAATAAAATGAAATGATAATAGCTCGAATGAGGTCTTTTAGGCAAAAAAAAATTGAAAAAGTTGACCCGAGAATTGAGAAATTTGGGAAAATCAATGTTGTCTAAATAAAATAACTATTTTTAAAGCAAGGTACACCGTCAGCATTCATAAAATCCTTCCATACAAAGTACAATTTGTAAAAAAGAAAGTATTATTTACATATATTTAAACGAAAAAGAAAATTACTACATTCGTTACATGTATGGTGAAAAATATATTGGTACCTCTGGTGTGGTCTGCACTATAAAGTGTTTGTGTTGCCCCCAACACACAGACAAAACTAATTGCCTCGCATGATTCCTAGTTGTTTCCCGTACTAGGTAGTCCCCATCGGCTCGCAATAAACGAACCACTTCCTCCCTCGGCAGAACACCATGGAACCATTCTTGGTCCACTAATGATCGCTCTGTCTCGCTCACACTAACCTGTTATACGAGAGAAAAAGATGACTATTTGCTACATTTTAAAACTATATGACACATTTTCACATGCGTAGGCAAGTGCATTGCTGAGGTTATAATAATTTTATTCCAGTGAATACTGTGTCTTTATGTTAATAATATATTATGTATATTACAATTTGCGTTTGACAAATCAAAATTCTATTTCCTGCACGTTCTAATCGTTAAATAATTTTATGGCGGATATCATTATCATTTCAGAATATAATTATAGGATAGTTCAAACATAAATATCGGTTTATAAAGTTATAAACTTATTATAAATTCATAACATCCATTTTAAAATATATTATCAAATTAATAAAAAGTCTGTCAATATCGTTAAAATAAATTCTATTTATCGCTAATTTATTCATTAATTTAATTGAATTATGAAAACAAACGTCGAGTCTAACTGCACTAGTCCTGGTTTAACAAGCCCAAACACTAACACACATTAGTTCATATTAATGTCATATAAACATGCAAAATTTCAACACGTTACACGTAAATCCTGGAATTAGGTCACATAATTTCACGTCAATCCACAAAACCAAGCAGAACATACGTCTTTTTCAAGTTCCAGCTGTAACTGCTTCAGTCTTTTCTTCCGTCGGGGAAAAGCCACGGGCGGCAACAAGTCGGTATTCGTTATATACATTGCGAACGGATCCATAACTTGATAGATAATTAATAATACACCAAAAACCATTACATTTTCTTTTAATTTTATAGCGGAAATATGATGACTGTATGAACTTGACGTAAACGACCGACAGACGCGAACGTCGAGTAAACAGCGTAACATTTCTGGAACGTCTCATGCGGCATCACCTTGATTTTGAATTCGATGTTAGAGTGAACTGAATGCTATTTTAATTTTATACGAAAGCTTATTCCGGTGTGAAGTTCGTTCGGTGCATTTTAAATGCTATAAATAGTTTGGACAACGTAACATGTTTATAGAGATTGTCCAGAATTTTAAAGAACCGTCATTAAATAATAGATGGAATTTAACAGACACTTTTTGTTTTGCCAGACACGATAATAATATTGGATGGTGCAAAATAAGCCTGGTTGTAAACGGTTATACATTTATTTTAAATAACATCTCCATGCCATGCGTGCTTATCTGGTTAGATTCACTCACCACACGATTAGGACAATTACAACGAATCTTTCTTCGCTTTTTAAACGTATCACTCTGCGCTCTACACTGCACATAGACATCCAAACGCTTGCGAAAACGCTTTTTTAATATGACACGCTGTTTACGCAGCGTCCATATTAGTTTTACCGAGTCCGAAGGGCCTTCACTGCTACTTCTATACGTTTTTGGTGGTAAAGCGGGACTCGAGGGGACAGATTTGCGTCGGAATGGACGCGTAAACATTCTGAAGAATGGTTTTGGCGGCACTATAGAGTGCAGGTGTAACCGCAACGCATCCATTGACGTTTTTGATCCGAGAGACGATCGATCCTGATGATCCAATAACAATTAAAGAACAATTGTCATATTATCTCAATCATAATTGTAAATATAAGTATTGCCATAACTCCACGCCAGTTCTCTTACAATTACTTCCACTCTTCACTTTTCTTCATACACTCAACCTCTACTACATCAAAGAATACAAACAGAAATATCTCTGTAACTGCTTAACAAAACAAACAAGCAAATCTGAACAAACCTGGTGATCAGGCGAGCTCCCGTCCAAGCTGTCGACGCCCACGGTCTCGGCGGACAGGTCCGGGCAGCCGCTGGGCGCCTCCTCGCAGCCGAGCTCCGCGAGCGCGGCGCGTATCATCTCCGCCTGCTTCGCGCATTTGCGTTCTGATACACGGAGTTCTAGCAGCTTGATGGGTTCTGATGTTGTTACTGGTATTGGTGGGGGAGAATGCCTACAAATTGTTTCACGAATGGTAAATTTTAGAAACAAATTTTATTTTTACACTGTGTCATGTAGCGTATGCTTTAATTCCTCATTTTATAAATTGTATGCACATTATTTATAATATTTTATCAGAAATATACTAATAAATACCTGACAAAACCATAAAATGAGAAAGATTTTACCTGTCAATGCCATTAACTCCATTTGTCATCCCTCCGTTATTATTCTTACATACACCGTTTCCAATAATCTCAGGACCCTGTAACGCTGTTTGTTTCTCCCTATTATCTTGAAGGGATGTTTCTAACTCAGTAAGTTTTTCCTTAAGCCATTCTACTGTAAGATTATCAACAGTCAGTTGGTTTGGTTGCAACTTGCCACTTGTATCTTCTACTAAACTCTCATCAAAATTGAAAGTAATTGGTGTTGAAGGTGGTGACCTAAAATTGGGTTATATTATAAAATATATGAATTATAAACATTGCTTTGTACTATAACATTTCTGCTTTGTCTGGAATCGTAGAGAAAGTAATGACTTACATCTTTACGCTGTTTTCTTTTGATTTTGTGACAACGTATATATGCGTGGTCATTACTAATATGAAAATGTATTAAAATTGGACAAGTACATATATTTAAAACATGCTTACTCTACATGACAGCCAAACCAGCAACCTAATTACATATAGATATAGCCAAGTGAAACGCAGATGGGACGATTCAACTGCTTTAAAGTTTCTTTCTAATCAATATTAACTTGAAAACAATGTTTTTAACTTACTTGTACTTCTCAATAAATTCTTTATACTCTTCTTGGGGCCTCAAATTTGTTACGGTTGATTCAATTTTGCTCTGTATCTCCCTGAATTTATCCGAACTAAAATCAGACCTCTGCACAACTTCCACTAAAATTCCTTTCCTGTTATAACAGATATAATAAATTAATATAATTATTTAATTACACCATGAGAGGAACTTAGGTATCAATCTGAATAAATTAAATGTAGCTCTAGCTATCTTACTTACAAAGTAAAAAAAACATGCTTTACCAGTTTGTAAATATAATAAGCAACTATAAAAAGCGCGATAATAAGCTACAAACATGTTCATTTAAAAGGCATGTGATGCGTAAATTAAATAACGTAATTATTGCAAATTTCCTCTATCGCCTTTACTAGAGTTTCGCAGGAAATCACTATAATATTTTATTTTATCCGTCACTTTCAAAACCTTTCTAAAATCTAATCTGATTAGTAATTGCGATATGTATTTACGTTAGCTACTATAAATAATATAATGTAGACTGTAGTGATATTAAATGAGATCTATACTTGTATATACAAAATGTTAGATTTAGTTCATTTTTACACTTTTTTTAATAACTAAACTTTTACAATATTAAAATCGCAATACTGCTGCAGCTTGGTCCAACTATTTCATAATCTAGTTTGTTTTGTTTGATTTTAATTAAAAAAAATATTTAGTAGGTATGAGAATAGGTCGTAAAGTATTTTTCACCAGGGTCGATAATTTTTAAAACCAAAAAAAATAATAGTAGGCTGAAACCCATTAGAAAAGGAGGGGAATATTATAAAAATGAAAGGAAAAATAATTTACGGGCGATCTGAGGTCGGGAAGGAAGGAAAAGATTTCAGAGATCATTTTGATATTTATTTCTTTAATATATTTTTTTTCATGGGGGTATACTCACGATTAAATAGTGAAGGCATTATACTTTCTTAGATTTACGCGAATATTTGACATTTTAAATAAAATTATCTTTTCGGATTTTGTCGCGGATTTATTTGTATTTTTGTTTCCCGACGTTTCGAATGCTTTACAGCATCCATGGTCACGGGAGAGACTGAGGTGTTACATGTCTTAAAGATATAGTTGTTACAGACAGCCTACCCACAATTAACAAAATGAAAATTGCACCAATTACATTACAATATTTTAACTTTAAATATTTTTATAATTTTAATTATAATTGAATATGGAAAATTATTTATTTAATTTTTGCTATTATTTTTATAATTATTACAATTTTAAAAATATTAATTAGCAATCTATATTTAGTGTTGCCATTATTATATTTATAACCATAAGAAAAATATATAAATTTAGTATTAATTATTTAAGCCACAATTGATCTATGTGTAATTTGAAAAAGTTAAGATTAATTAAAAATAATAATTTTAATTTAAATTTGCTATTATTTAAAAACAAATTATTAAGCAACACATTACTACATACATTTACAAATGAAAAAGTGAAAAAATATTACTAATCAGAAATGCTATCATTTTGATCTACACAGTAAGAACTTACTACATCTACCTGTCTTTATGTTTAGATTTATTATTAGATTTTATTATATTAATAACAGGATCCCATGACGATGGTAGTACCCAGCCATCTTCCCTATTGAAATTAGGATGTTTTTTAATTTCTATGGCTTCTCGAATCATTCTAGGGCGATATCGGTTTTCTTTCGCCAGGATTTGAGGCCTATCGAAGCGAATATAATGGCTTGGGCGGTCCTGACTGTGTTTGCAGACAGCAGATGTTGTATTGCGACGGTGCTTCACATCAGCTATGTGTTCTTTGACCCGGGTTCTAATGGATCTCTTTGTTTGTCCGATGTAAGAGAGCCCACAATCACAATCAAGCTTGTAAACTCCTGCATCTTGTAGAGGGATGTGGCACTTGACAGGTGGTAGAAACTGACTAATTTTCTTTGGCGGCTTGAAGTAAGTTTTAATTGAAGCTCGCTTTAGAATGTAGCCAATCTTGTCAGTTACTACATTCTAAAGCGAGCTTCAATTAAAACTTACTTCAAGCCGCCAAAGAAAATTAGTCAGTTTCTACCACCTGTCAAGTGCCACATCCCTCTACAAGATGCAGGAGTTTACAAGCTTGATTGTGATTGTGGGCTCTCTTACATCGGACAAACAAAGAGATCCATTAGAACCCGGGTCAAAGAACACATAGCTGATGTGAAGCACCGTCGCAATACAACATCTGCTGTCTGCAAACACAGTCAGGACCGCCCAAGCCATTATATTCGCTTCGATAGGCCTCAAATCCTGGCGAAAGAAAACCGATATCGCCCTAGAATGATTCGAGAAGCCATAGAAATTAAAAAACATCCTAATTTCAATAGGGAAGATGGCTGGGTACTACCATCGTCATGGGATCCTGTTATTAATATAATAAAATCTAATATAAATCTAAACATAACAGACAGGTAGATGTAGTAAGTTCTTACTGTGTAGATCAAAATGATAGCATTTCTGATTAGTAATATTTTTTCACTTTTTCATTTGTAAATGTATGTAGTAATGTGTTGCTTAATAATTTGTTTTTAAATAATAGCAAATTTAAATTAAAATTATTATTTTTAATTAATCTTAACTTTTTCAAATTACACATAGATCAATTGTGGCTTAAATAATTAATACTATATTTTATATTTTTCTTATGGTTATAAATATAATAATGGCAACACTAAATATAGATTGCTAATTAATATTTTTAAAATTGTAATAATTATAAAAATAATAGCAAAAATTAAATAAATAATTTTCCATATTCAATTATAATTAAAATTATAAAAATATTTAAAGTTAAAATATTGTAATGTAATTGGTGCAATTTTCATTTTGTTAATTGTGGGTAGGCTGTCTGTAACAACTATATCTTTAAGACATGTAACACATCAGTCTCTCCCGTGACCATGGATGATGTAAAGCATTCGAAACGTCGGGAAACAAAAATACAAATAAATCCGCGACAAAATCCGAAAAGATAATTTTATTTAAAATAGTGAAGGCATTATTAACTCGATTTTGTCTTTTCAGATTATCAGTATGGATGAATCTGTTTGTATCATCTGCAATAAGGCAGATGATAAGCAAGTGTATGAAATAAAAAGGTTTTTTGTTTTTTGCATTTTCTCAGAAGATTTACTATAGTAACATATATTTTTTTTTCACCATCGGAAAGTAGAGATTTCAACGAATAGAAAACATACCAACTTTTTGAAAAAAGCTGATATTTTGACGGGTGAATTTTCGATTGAAAATTAGGGTGCTTTTTTGATATTAATTCAAAATAAGGTGAAAAAATAAATATTTTTAATCAAATAAATTACAGCGTATTTGGGACATAAAAAGGTAAGTTTTCACCAAATTTCGTTAAAAAAATTTTTTTTTTGTAAAAGATAAAAATAAAAAACCAAAAACTTGGTTTTTTGAACTTTTCACATAAATTTTGAGGTTATGTTAAAAAAGTGTAAATACAAAAGTTTTATATCTTTTTATTACCTACAACAACTACAACTTTGCCATTTGACTTTTTTCGATAGGACTTTTAGTTTTGCCGGAAATCGAGAAAAACCGTTTTTTACCCTTAAAAACTCACCCCCATCCCCTTCCCGACCTCAGATCGCCCGTAAATTATTTTTCCTTTCATTTTTATAATATTCCCCTTCTTTTCTAATGGGTTGCATCCTACTATTATTTTTTTTCACTTTTTATTATTTTTAAAGGCTTCTACCCTGGTCTACTTCTACCCGCCATTTTTTAAGTAACTAGGGGCGAACCCGAGCGCGGAGCGAGAGTGAGTCACTAGTATTTATATAAAAAAATAGAAGCCTGTGTGACCGTTGTGCAACTACAAACAAATGAATGAAGAAAGAACCTCTTCACCATGTACAGACACGCGCTTAACCGGTTTTACTTTTACATATAATTTGCATAGCCATTCCTCACTCGCAACAGGCAGTTAACGTGTATATTTGTAATTTATCCAATACATCGTAAATACTAAGGTCTTTGAAATCCGGGTTGGACGACAAATTGTCTTTGAATATATTAAACAAGAACATTAACTGTACAATACATACTATGATAGCAAAATTGTGCATTGCCAATATGAGAAACGCCATGGTTTCTATAATATTTCTAATCTAATTGGACGTAACGCCCACACACACCTTTATCGCCTTAACAAACATTAGCACGTACCTACTCGTTATGACCTCTTAAAACACTTCTCCTTTACGTAAACATACTGATATTCAGTACAGACTAATTAACTTTTTTAAATTGTGTAATAGAAAAAAAGACCAAAGCAATATGCCACACACATAATATGTATCTGTAATAATTAATTTTGTATTTTTGTTAACTCTATTGTTAATCTATGTTTCCTATCTATATCATTAGGTCCATGTGTGGTTTTGAGGGTACTTTTGTAAACTAAAAGTTTATTTTTATATGAAAATCGTATAAATCATATTAATCACATCTCTATCATGTCCTTTTAAAAGCCAGTATATTTAACTTATTAACTCTACCGGAACCAGGAACACCCGGAAATAGGCACATAAATATATAAAACTTCCGCTTATTTGAAAAACATAACAACTTACCATGACGAGGCCGTAGCTTCCCCCTGCCGTCTCTGCTGTTCCAGTAGCGCGGGTAAAGAGGCAGTGCGTAAAGCTCTCTCGCACTCGGTGGCCTCAGCCAACAACAGTACATACTCATTATGCGCTCTGTGCAATCTACGGCACGCTTTGCCATATTTATCTCTGGTCTCGTCCAATTTACGACCTCCTCGGCTTGTTGGACCTAGAAAGGATATATTGACAAATAAAAAATTATGATTTTCAATGTTTATAATCTATTTATAACTCACAAATATCTTTCAAAATTTGAAAAAGTAATGGATATTTAAAAAAAATTGAGTGTTATGATATTTTTAGAGAAATTTAGTACAAGCATCATGTCGAGAGTATGTCTTCTCTTTGATGGTATAACTGTTTAATCGGTAAAGCTGCGTATGAACGGAATCCGAGTGCAATGACATCAGCATCATTAATGATGCACTGCACGCACGCAATTTGTATGAATGCTTTTTAAGTACCACCATGGAACTGCACACTAATTTCATCTGTAGGTAAAATGAGAAGTGCTTAAAATAGCGTAAATAATGACGGGGCTACTTGAGTTTGCGTGTGCTGATAAATAGGCCTACTTTTGCGAAATTGCGCTCCCCTGGCGCCAGTGGCCGGTCTGCATTAGATATCGCCAGTTAATGTACGACGATTAATCGATTTGTAGAGACTGTGGCGAGCATTTAATTGGTAAATGGTAAGTAAACAATTGCGATGAACGAACGCTTTCGCACTTTAATGTTGGCATTTAATTGAACGCCGGCGATGTAGGCGTAACGTACTATTTATTAACACATCGAGTACAAATGAAATATTAGTAGGCTAATGGATCGAAAGTAAAATAGTTCAGTTAATATTTACGTACGCAATTACGGACGTACAATAAGAAAGAGAGCCGAAGGCCCAATCACTCATCTTCATTATCCTCCTCCATCCTCTTCATCCCCTTTATAAAATACTAGACTCACCAAAAATTAATTTTTCTTATAAGTAGGTACCCTATATAATTTCATATGCATTTAGTAAAACGCTGTTATTTCGACATTACAAACAGTCACTTCAATTTTATTTATCTGTTCAGATGGTAGGCATACCCTTGACGTTGCAACTATTAATACTACTATAAACTATCAGGGAGGCTATATGTATGCTCATCACTTTTGTAGTATAAAAAAATATGTTTCTTACTTACACTTAAGGTAGTTCTCCTCAAATTTTGCCCTCATTTGCTTGTAAGACTCGAGGCATTTCTGGTACTCGCTCTGCTTTCTTTGGACCTCTTCTGAGAGCTGGTTAACAAACATCATACAATTACAATTTGAAACTAACATATTAGTTTATTGGTACAAACTCTATATCTGTTCAAAATATTAAAAAAGAGCCAAGATTTCATGGAGGAATAACATTATATTTAAACAAACACTAATTATCTTGCATGCTGTTTGTCTTCATAAATTTTAAATTTAACATTACATTTTTATATTTAAAGAACAATACGAGCGTTAAATAAAATTAGCATTTCATGCAGAAAAACAACTTCAGTTCAATTAGTAATTTTAATGCTCTCCAGTTTGGTAATAAAAAAAACTCGAAAGCTTTTCAAGTATTATCAATTTAGTTTATTACATGAGATGGTATGAAGTGCAACGCTAAATAAGTTGCATCTTTAAATAAGTGAATGTATCGTTACACATTTCAAAAAAACAATTTAAATAATGACGTCATTGCATTGGATATTTGATGGTTCAAGGCGCGACGTCTCGAAAGACGCTGCAATATCTGATAATATATTGGTAGGTACTAGGTACTTAAACTTTGTGTTGATACTTTGTGTTCATACTTTGTGTTGTGTAATAAAATATTTATAGAAACACATTTTGAAGATATATAATAAGTATTGAGTTAGAGAATTGAAATTCGCTTATTTAAATTCAATCAATTATTGTTATTAGCGTTTCTTTTAAAACTTCATTATGTATCATAATCTATATAGTATAGATATAAATATCTAAACAATCGGGTTTATTATAATACTTATAACTCAAGAACTGCTGGACCGATTTTCATGGTATTTGATGTGTTGTATTTGTCTCCACCTCGAATAGAAGAATAACTATAAAAACATCAGAAAATTTCACGATTTTTTTAATATGCCTAACGCTGGCTAATAAGCCGCTAGGTATTATTACGTTCGTGGCATATTGTACATTTCTAAAAGAACTATGAATATATTAAAAATATTACCTTAGATAATATAAAATATTCATATCTACTCACTGTTCTAAAAGTGTGTTTCAAGAAGTTAATTTTTAGATGATGAAACTATGAGCAATAACAGTGGCAATTTACATCTAATGTATCATTTTTGTACACATTAATTACATTTATAGATTTTTTATAAAGCCTTCAAGTGGGACCGGAAATATTTGGAATACATTCCAAGGCACACGCTGACGTCACTGTCGATGACTCGTCAGCAGCTTGTCATTACGTTAATAAAATTATTACATATAAACAGTTGTACGAGTATTTAAGATATTTGATAACAGGAGAAGGGATATTTTATTACAAATTAAAAAGGAAACTAAGATTTTTCATCAACAAAAAACAATTGAACGTAAAATTGTGGATTCTGGAAAGGATATAGAAATAAGTGTTTATAAATTATAATTTAATAAATTATTTTTAATCTTTAATTTATCTATTAATAAATAGTATGAAGGAAGTCTAATCTATACTAATATAATAAGGAGCTAAAGTTTGTGAATTGTGAGCTTGTGACGTTGTAACGGGGTAATCTCTGGATCTACTGAACCAATTTAGATGAAATTTGGTAAGAAGATAGTTTGAGACCCTGGGAAGGACATAGGGTACTTTTTATCCTGGAAATCATCCCTTAAGGGGGTGAAAATGGGGATGAAATTTTGTATAGCGAATAAACCTAGGGACGAACCCGAGCGAAGGGAGGGTGAGTCGCTAGTTTAATAATATACTTATTGAAAAGAAATAAAAACGTGCCAATATTTTACTGACGATTTTTTGTAATACCAATTAAGTTGCAATTTTTGTAATGAAATGAATACAATTTTTTATGCTAGTACGTTTATTATATTTATAAAAAAGTTAAGTCTAAAGCTCACACTCAAAATATATTATGATGAATATATTATAATGTTTATAACATTATTTAGAGTTTATTTAATATTTTCCTGAGTTTTGCAGATTTACCCAGAAATCAAAATATAAATATAATTTTAATTATAATAATAAAATATAAATATTTTTATGTAGAGGATTTCAATAACTTGGTTAAAAAACTTTACCTTCACCTTTGATACTGTTAATAGTGCTAAAATACTGGCTACGTTTAACTTTTTCCGTAGCCAATACAATACATTTGTGGTCAAAGATAACTGAGGCAAATAAAAAATAGAATACAGAAAAACGACACAAACATAAAAATATATAGAAAAGCTTCCTGTAAGTTCATTTTGATGTTGAGACCGTGACTACGGGAAATGGTGTAGGATTTGTTTTTCGTATTTTTTTTCTCGCCTTTTTATACATCCTACTAATATTATAAACGCGAAAGTTTGTAAAAATGTATGTACGTGTGTAAGTTTGTTACTCTTTCACGCCAGAACGGCTTAACGGATCTAGATGAAATTTGGCACAGAGATAGATTATAGTCTGGAATAACACATACTTTTTATCCCGGAAAAGTGTACGGTTCCCAAGGGATAGATTTGTTTTTGTTTTTCTAGGGGCGAACCCGAGCGAAGCGAGGATGAGCCGTGAGTACCTAAATCATAATTTGTAGCAAAATAACACTGCCAATTTAGATACTTCACTTTCTGAATTGACATGAAGAATACATAAAAGGTTGTCTTTACACATCGTTATTATAAAGACTAACATTACAAAGATGCTTATTATTTTTTTCACTTTTAATATTACGTAAATAATATATTAGGTATTATCGATGCGCTCGCTTAAAATAATAATTATAAAAAGATGTGAACTTGATTTTTATATTAAAAATCTATGTTCAAAATGAATTTCTAGATAGGCCTACTGCTTTTAATTTACCTATTTTATTACGTAGGTAAAGAAGTAAATTAATTTCAACACAGAAGCAAGCCATTTATGCAAGTACTCATTTTCTATATTTTGTAAACATTACGATTGAGAAATCAATCAGTCTAACGACGCGGACCCAAATCTATTCGTATCACGTTTTCGTGCATGTATGAGAAATAACATAGTTAATTTAGTATTTGTGAAGTATTTTGTTTTGCGTTCGTTGTTTTTTCAAGAAACCATATCTAATTAGTTTAATTTTGTTACCTTGTATTTATTTACCGGCAAAATTAATCCAACTTATGCATAAACCATTAACGTTTTCATTATAAAAGCTCGTTTGGTTACACATGATCTACAGTCCAACAGTCCAAGTATCTTTTTAATTTAAATTAACAGAAAATGTATACGTAGAGGTATACAATATGTACAAAACTTATAATCTAATGCATAGAATATTTTTGTAAGTTTCTTTTTAATAACTTTTAAAAAATGATAAGCAAGCAGTAACTCTTTGGGAATTAAACATAATAATAATACAACTAAATAAAATAATAAGTATTATCGATTAAAAAGTTTTAAAATTACTTTGTTTATATAACGGAATATATATTATAAACGAATTACTGTTAATTGTTATACTACCTAGATATACAGCGAATCTCCACTCGCACGTGACTTGCACGCACGGTCACAATAGGCACGAACGAACACGATTTTATTGTCATTTCGCTAATAATGATCACATTGACATCGAAGAAAGTGAAGGCGATTGAAAAGTTAAAAAAAAACATCACCAATTACAAACGTGACAAAAGTGCAAAGTCATTATGCCAGGAAAGAAAAGTTTTCCTACTGTTTCGAAATAATTGGCACATAAATTCTACATTGTTTGATAATCTAGTTTAATATACATACATAAGTGTAATCACTTTTGTAATACAAAGAAAAAGAAATTCATATTTTTTTACATGTACTAAAAGCATTATAAAACCAAATTTTTAGTAAATAACTATAGATACATAGTTTATATCATTTAAATAAATGTGTTCGTAAATAAATATGTAGTTTGACACTGTAAAATAAATAAAAAAAATATAATTTTAACAAATACACCTTAATGACCAATACGTTTGAATTTTGCCATAAATATTGTAAAGAAATTTTTATTTCAAGGAGTATTAAATTGCGGGACACAAAAGAGGCCATATTTTAACATTTTGCCGCGATGTGGTAAGCCGCAAACGACTTGTAATTCATCGGCTTAGGCATATCCACTCTTTATATTCAATTCTTCTGAAGACATGATAAATTTTGTCCATTGACAGAACCAAGAAAAAACATGTTATAAGTATATTTCATAATTTTTAATTGAAAAAGATTAAATTTAAATATATAGATATTATATGTCCCCTCACTTCGCATTTTACACCGCTTTTCTTGAAACAAAATATATTAATAAGTAGTGGTTTTAACACGTTCCTTGTCCACGCTCCCATATGGAGTCGAAAATTACATACACTTTAAATGATAAAATATTGAACTGGACGTGTAAGTTGGGCATAGAATTGGGTTTAAATTTTGGTTTAGACTTGTGAGTTGGTAAGTTTTGAATATGTCTGCAATCTTTGCTATGTACCTAATACATATATACCTCGACAGTTAGTAAAGTAATATGTATTACCTACGATATACAGTAGGTATATACTACCTACGAAGAAAAAACAAAATCGTCAAAACCATTTACAAGAATTTCCTTTTTTGCGTGACATTTGTAATAAACCACTGTTACCATAGACAATAGTCAAAAAAGCGCCAAACGTTCACGTGACTCCTTAGAGAGTCGCGTAAGTCCAAGTTGATAAGTTTACGACTCTATCAAGAGTCATATTTGTTTTTGTTGTTTTTTTTTATAGAAATAAAAAAAAATATACATATATTGGTTTTGTTTCATTATAAGACCTAAACAATAATTATTACAAAAATACAAGTGGACTTGGCAGAAAAAAAATGACCTTTGTATGGGGGACTGTGAACATGTTAAAAGAACTTATACCATAAACATATATCCTCATAGATCTAGATAATAACGAATTTACTTACCTATGTATGTACTCAACTAGTTTTTGCCCAAAAAGCTTATTCCCGCCTGCGTGGTAAATAGATCGATAAAAACATAAGTACTCAATATACATACATATGTAAACCA